TGAGGAGTTCTGTGTAATGCCCTATGGAACAAGCACACACAGCTCCATCAAGACTCAATAGGAGAATTTCTGGAGCCTGTACTACATCCTCTCTCTCTATTTCATGCATCTTCAAACACTTTCAACTCAGGTATGGATCTGATTGGTGTCTGCGAGATGCTAACTACTGGCATCTTTTTTTCTTTTAATCAGCCATTCTGTATGTGAGAGGCAGCAAGAAGGGTGTTCCAGCATCCCCAGCAGGCATGTTCCAGAATCATCCAATTACAGACAAAGAAGTGAGGCCCCGCCCCTTGTTTTATTGAGAAGTATAGCCCCACGGGGCTATACTTCTCAATACCACGAACAACCAGGAAGTACAAGATATCTACTCACTGCATGAGAGCGGCCGTTTTAATCGATTTAACTGTAAGTGACTACTTTTTTGTTTAATAAACGTTGATATCGACTACACTATGAGGAGTTCTTTTTTCCTTTTTGTTTTTTCGCTAAATTATTGATCCATGTGACGCTGATGAGACGGCCGTGGGACTACTGATTGGCTTTTGATCTCTCTTGGCTTTTGATCTCTCTTTGCCTACGAACACCGTGGGTCTGGTGAGTGCACATCCCAGAGGGGAGTTTTGGCGTGGACACTTAGTGTGGGAGAAAGATTGAACTTGTTTTTGAAGCTTATTCTCATCATCAATACATCATCTACACCTGAACTTTATAATTGCTTTTGAATTCACATGATGATTCATCACTCTTACTGATATTTTTGAGCTAATTTGCTGTTAACCACTTTTATTAATTTTTGTACTTGATACACGTGTGATTACAACATCATTTTTTGTTAAGGTATAGTTAATTTAATTTATCCTAATGCACTTTTGCACAAAGTGAAATTCATATTATATATTCATAATTTTGGTTCACTGGTTATCACTTTAGTATACCTTTTATGATTGCAAACACTCATTTGGATGTTGTGTTGTAAAGTAGCCACCGCTCCAAGTTCGCTCTCAGGATGAACTATAATGTCAATACATATTAGCTAACTAAATGTGAGATTGTAGGCCATCACAGGAGTGAGCTTGGAGCGTGGCTACTTTATAACACACACCTTGATCATGGGGAACAAAATGTAGCCACCCTCCAGAATGAAGGACAGTGTCAACACCAATTCAGAGATGATTTTAAGATCTAGAGATGAGTGATACACAAATAAAATACATTTTAGTTAATAGTTAGGGAACTTGAATGCATTAAGATTTGATTAATTTAAGATTTAATTCCCGAGTTAAGTGTAATTTTAAGTTATATGGCTATTAAATTGGGCTTAGTTTGTTTTACTTTTTAGGGCAACTCATTCTGGTGGACAAGTGAGAAAAGCCAACCGGTTAAGAACTCCAAGACAACACAAAACAGTAAAAAATTGGTCCCTGGTATGTAATTAATTGGCGTGTAAATAATCACATTGCATTTCAGCTTCATTTACTCAACACTATGTATACTGCAAAGAGTTATTTTGGTATCTTTGAAATGTGTGAAAAAAAACATGGTATAGTCTGAAATTTTCTTTCGTTTATCTCTTGCTTGTATCACCCTGTGGAGCACGATGGAAATAGTAACTGATTTGGGCATTAGTATCTAGGCTGTAGGTGACACAACTTTGCCTATACAGAGTTTTAGCTCAATAAGGACTCCAGACTGCAAAGGGTTAAAAAGATTCGAGCAGAAAAAATATTTCTGGTCCACTGCGAGAACACTGGAGCTTAATAATTTTCTACAGAGTCCTTGGATTAGAGAGCTTTATTAAAATTACTTTGCTCCTGCAAAAGACAATAAAATAAATGAATATAAAGCGTATCCAGCGGTAAAGGTTAGGCTATTGCTGTGAACTAAACTCAAGGGTATGAAAGCAAAACCGGCAGAAGGGAAGATTATGGCTTTATTTCCCTGCCGCAGGCAACACGCCTGTCCTGTGACTTACAGCTATATTACATGCACTGTACCCAGAGCCCCTACCAGTCCCATTGTGTACACTCCTGGTGCACATCTGCAGTGTCACCATCAAACTCTGATTAACCAACCAAAACATAGACCCTTATAGTAAAGCTTTTAGATTATTTTAGATATTCTTTATTTTAAAATTAACTAATTCTCAATATCTGAAGCCAGCATGCAATGGTATGGCAAGTGTATGCAATGGCTAAGGGCCCATACACACCAGCAAGTCACGCTAAATGCATGGATCCTGGTGTGCATTGACAGGCACAGTGCTGGGGCGCCAATCTTGGTGCATCACACAGTTTACTTTTTTTGTTAGAACTTTATTGAAATGTCACAAGTGACATTTCATTAAGTTCTATTGGCATAGCGCGGTGTGATGCGTTGCACTGAACAAAGTTCAACATACTGTACTCTTCTTAGCACACTCCAAGGCAGCATGGTGGTATTAAATGCAACCATTTAAAACAAGGCAAATTATCTTTCCTGTGCATTGGGGCTGTACTGGAAAAAGCTGCCATTGGAGCCTCAACTCTTCTAGTTTGAATGTGCCCTCAAACTGCAAGTATTGGTCTGCTGTCTGTCGCTCATTGGGGAGATTTTCCCTCACTTTGCGTCTAAAGTAGATATCTGCACAGCAAAGGAAATCATGGAAAGGAAAGTGTCCCTATTGGGAGATTTCCCCTCTATTACTGTTTCGGTGACAACTTTTGAGTCTTCCCTCACTTTCAGCCCATGTGACAATGCCCTAATAGAGTGACAGGACTAATAGAGAAGGTGAAACTCCTCAGTGAGGGTGGAAACATCAATAAAAACATGGCAGGGATAATAACCCCTAATTACTAAATCCAAAATAAAGAAATAACCTGGCTTTAGATAGACAATAGATGATTTACATATTTCCTTAATGTTAGGGTATGATAAAGCCAAAACATACACAATGATCAAATAAAGAAATCTGTAAAAAATATCCCCTCTCAAGTTGCTAGTGCCACTGTCTGGAACCCAAGTGGTCTACATTTCCTGTGTAGGTGTATATTCTGGAGCTATATTTTATGGTCACACTGCATGGGAGACATTCAGAGAGATTACCCTTCCTATTATCCTTCCTTAACTGTCTTTGAATTCACACAGAGAGCTAAACAGTCACTCCTGTGATTAGATGAAATTGTTGCTAAAACCATACACATGATCAGCAAAGCAGGAAGTCTGGGCTGCCAATGCAGTATAATATTGAGCCATGCTGAACTGTACAGTCATTTTTGCATGTTCTTTCATGCATTTAAGCTTGAGCATTTTAAATATTATTTTTAGCCTATAGAAAGCTAGTTACTTGGCAAAGAAAATGCAAAAAAATACGTTTTTGCATTTTCTTTTTTTGAGTTTCTCCCATTAAAGTCTATCACTGTTAGGGCCAAAAATAAGAGGCACTGCCTCAAAAAGAAGCTCATGTACTTTTGAGCGACTAGCTTCAAGCAACATCATGCTAAGATGTGAATTGGCAACATTGAAAATAATGGAAATCCTTAAAAAATGGCTCATTTGTGGCTCAGCCTGGACTGTGTAAGGGCCTTTTCACACCAGCCCCTGTGCGTTATGATGTTTATAATGAGTGTGCGCTGGGGTGTATTTATCTTTAATTTAAAGGAGAACTTTATTTCCCATAGTTCTCTTTAGGGTCATGGGAGAACATATACTAACGTCCTCCCATGACCCAAAACTCAGTATATAGATCCTCTTCAGTTGTTACTGTACTTTGTAAATGGTTAGCTATATTGTGTGTATTGCAGATGGTTTCTATACACTGTGTATATCGGTCTTCGGGCGTACAGGAGACACTCGGCTCCTCTGATCTCTAGCAGTTATTTCTCAACACAGACACAGTCTATGTGAACAGCAATGGATGTCAAAGCTGCAACATTTGTAAAGTTGGATGGGGTGAGAAGAACAAAGGAAACTAGAAAAATCAAAAAAGTCACTTATTTCCAGCCAAGCCCAATGAGATTTGAAAATGACGGCCATGTGCCTGAAAATAAAGATACTTATCCTTGTGTAAAGCTTTGTGAACGGAGCCTAATGTGTAGAGAGGTTGTTAAAGGTAGAATGTGGTAGAAGCGTCAGAACCAGGAAAAAAATAATCTGAACATGGGCTTTGTGGCTTATTCACACCCCAACAGAGCATGCTGGCTGGAGTGAAGAGGACTATGTAGGCTGTATACTGCCTGGCTTTGATCCTTTCTGGGTCAAAGTCAGCACTCCTGAGCTGCATTAATTAATTTTGGTCAGTGATTCTGAGTACTGTATCCCAGGGATAAGCATGCCACCCAGGAAATTAACATTTCAACAACCACATCCATATTTATCTCAGTACAGGTCTCCTTTCTAATATATCTGGGCAGAGTTCTTCCTTTACCTATTATCCAACCAAGTAAAATTTTCTGTGTTCTCAGTTTCAAACTATAAAAAATAGCTTCTTTCAGCACAAGCATAAAAAACCAAAGTATTTTTATGACATATTTACAGATAAATACTAACGTGTTTACTGGCACATTCCAAATGATCTTCCAGGTTACAATCCCGCGTTTCTTTTTTCACACAAAAAAAGAATAACATTTCCTTTACATTTGAACACATTTGCACAACGGAGATCTACTTAGTTATTTGTAATTATCGTCCTTAGTCAGAAGGGAATATTTGTGTGCTACTTTAATTCCATCCTGCAGTGGTTTCATGTCCAGTAAACCATTAGCCCTACGCAGAATACAGGCGGCTCAATGCCATTTCCAATGACAAATAATTGCATGGTTTACGCTTTCGAGTGAAAACGATCCCAGGCTGCACTTTTTATTGGTTGGGACGGGGGAGGAATTGGCATATTTTATGCCGGTAATAAACAAAACAAAAAAAATCATAAAATTGCACTGACATGTTCAGCCAGCACAGAGTTTAACTACAGAGAGGAAAGAGCGAGAACACAGAACGTTACAGGAAATGCATTCACTTATTACCTTTCCTTTGTCAAAGAAATGGATAATCTCTTGGTAGAGTTGATCTTTTAATTGTCCTTGTGTGCTTGCCTGGTAACCATCCCGCTGAGTAAGATGTGCGGCACAAGCATCTTCAGACCACTTGGGGAGGAGGACCACGTGAAGAGGATAGGACGAGGGTCAGAAAACAAAAGACAGTAATTACAGGTTAGCAGCAGAGTTTCTCTAGGTGCCTATACACATGCCAATTATAATCAGAGGGAGTCTTTGACTTAAACCTAACTGCTTTAAAGTGCATTTCCACTTATGCAGTCAAATTGGGATAACACCTACTTTACATTTGTTGAATGTTCCTATTCCCATAGCATAACTTAAAAAGAAAAAAGTAAAAATCGCTGCTTACGTTTTACTTGTTCTTTTCTGAAACTCCAAAACTGAAGTTTTCCCTGCTATATAATGTTAAGGAGGGGGCTGGGGAATTAAATGTTTACCATAAATAACCCAGTCTGTACCGTGCTGGCACATCTTACTATCAGTTTTAAACTAGATTTGAACACTGTCCTAGCAAAAGATTACAATTTTGGGGCTGCAAAAGTGGAAAAACACTTTAAGTACTTTTGAGCCACATGACAAGCGTGCTTAAAATGAGTGTCAGAATTCCTGATCTCTATATATGTTCAGGGTCAGTGACTCGGGTAGCTCTGAATCCATTAGCATTGACAGCCAGGGAACGAAGATGCTCAAAAATTAGAGTTTGGCAATGGCAGCCCTCATTATTCCCCCATGAAAGCGGCCCTTCAAAGTTAACTTGGCATGGACTGAAAAGTACCTAGTGTAACAATACCGCTCTTCTAAAGAGCAAAACCTTGTGGTATCTTCAAGTACCAGTGCTGGTTTTCAAATTGATCCCTGTGTCTATGTGAGGCCTCTTGGATCCTATGCATAGGCTACGCAGGAGACCTCAACTTCACCATAAGTCAAGATCACGCCCCACCTACCTCCTAGTGCTAAACCCCACCACCTGCCTCCCAACTGTCGAATGGTACAGTCACTACTTCTTTCTAAAGTTCTGCCTTTAGCGGCTAAAACAGGGAATGGGGAGCAGTTCTGAAAGGGGACAGTGGTCCTAATCTTTCCCTACAACTGGAACCTCAACTCCAATATTTCTGCTACAACCAGCTCCAAGAGCAAGTATACAGTAGGTAACAAGTCAAACTTTGTAACTTCAGGATCTTGTATATTATGATGATGTTGAAACCATGATCTGTAAATCATTTCTAATTTTGACAGACCCACATCCTGGTCCACATGCAGACCACTAGGTGTAACCTTTAAATATTTGAGTTGCCGTATTTAAATAGATTCAGACTGCATATTGCTTACAGCTTGCTTTTATCTGTCACTATGTCTCATGAGACTGCAGATACACAAAGATCTGTTCAGCCAGCACTGAATAGGAGAAAGATTGCTGACAATTATACAGTCATCACATTACGTATATCAGGAAATTTAGGCTGCCTTATCGGTTTGGCACTGAGAAATGCTAAGCTGTATTCACAACATGCAGATCAATTGTTTTACAGAATTCACTTCGTTAGCAAAGCTGAGGTTACAAAACAAGGTAAAGTGCTAAAGTGTATTTATAGCCCAAACTTTTTTTTCCTTTAAAAAGAGAGTGGAAGCGTTAAATGCTCTTTCAGTTTTTTATTGCTAGGTCCCCGCTGGGGAGATTCACTCTTTCTTGTCATGGTGACTATGGTTGAGCTCAGGTTCAGTCCAAACTTGAGTTTGTGCGACTCTGGAAGGAAGATGTCAGTACTGACTCAATGAGCTGGGGCATTCCCTGAATGATCTGCACATAAAATTAGCAGAATGCTTGTGGCATCATTAGACATATATGGCCACATGGTCATATATGATCAATGATAATGACCTGATATTGCCATGTGGATATATCAGGTCAAATTCGGACTGAACCTGAGCTCATCTCTAATGGTGACCAATGTGAGCTGAAACAAAAGTGATGGAAAATCCAAAATGTTGCAGTTGTCACTGGAAGAAGAAAAAAGGGAAATTCATTCAATGGGGGCAGCTGTCCTCGTAACAACTGTTTAAAAGGTGATTTCACCTCACTTTGAAGAGAAGGACGTTAGAGGAAGTCTCCACCAATGTGTGACACACAGCAAAGAAAATCCAAACAGGAGTTTTAATACTTTCCTATTCTATATAAAACAAACAAAATTAAATTCTGGCTTAATATATACGTTAAAATACCATATAATAATGTTAAGGTTCTTATTTTTCAGAGTCAGAGTAGCAAAGAAAGCACTCCAGTGAACATCTGAATATGCAATCAAGCTCTACCTAGCCTTTCAACAAACTAAAGTTAATGCTTTGATATAATTTCCATAGCAGTACCAATGTGGGGCCCAAGGGGAGATCTGATACTGAAGTTTGGACCAGCCCACAGTTGCCCAATGCTAAATGTGCCAAAATCCCAACCTAGACTTTTTGAGTCAGCTTTATCCTAAAACTATCAAACAACAATGACGAGCTCACATCCATAGAAATCATAGAGACTGGTCATTTCTCCATACCTTTAGCAGCTTGGCATGCAGCAGTAGTGTATATGCGGCCTCTGTATAGTTGTCACATTCTTTATGCAAGTCACACAGTTTGTACAAATACCTGAAATGCAAAGAAGAGAAAGAACTACATGAATTCTGCTCTCAGTAAAAAGTGGACTATAGTCCTAAAACAAGGGTTTGTAGAAAACACCAAAAGGGATGTGAAATGACACTTGGGGCTTCATTTATAAACACTCTGCATGCCTTTAGAATGGAACTAGTAGCCCTACATGGCACTGACGAGTATAGGAATTTCCAGATCAGACAGAATCTTTATGAATGACCCCCCTAATCAATGCTTTCACTTTGTGTACTTTTAGTGGAAGGCCACATATGCTGTCTGGTACTCAATACTTTCACAAACTATGTGTCCTTACCATTATGCTGATTGAAAAAAAAAAAGAAGACATGTGTTTAACTCCATGCACCCCATAAGAGACTGAAACAAACACGCCATGTAACCAGCAGGGTAATGACTCTTTTCTTATGCAGTCATCATGGGAAGGGCAGTATATGGGTTTATATGGCCAAAAGATGCACAACAACAGATAAAGTCTGATATCTGTAAATCTGTTATCTCTCACATCACCTGAATATCAGCTTCCGATCTGACAATAACTAAGTTGTATTAGGAACATTTGTTAATCTACCCTACAAACCAAATATCCATTTAAAACACACGGAGGGGAATTAATCAAAACTTGAGCAGAGAAAATCTGGAGCAGTTGCCCATGGCAACCAAATCAGCTTCTCTCTTCAGTTTGTCCAGCTGAGATTTGAAAATGAAAGATAGAAGGCGATTGGTTGTCATGCGCAGCTGCTCCCGATTTTCTCTCCTCCAGTTTTGATAAATCCCCGTCATGGTGTTTCCAGGGGCTTAGCCATAGCTAGTTTTTGGCTTCTCCCAACAAACCTGCAGTTTATTGCATGCATCCATTGTAAATTAACAGAATTTTCAGGCTCTCACCAGCGCCTTACATAGATCACACCTTGGAGAAACAATCAAGCCATATCATTAATTTGCTTTGAGCATTTTTATGCAAACATGTCTTTAAAAACTGCCAAAGACATGTCCGTATACCTGGAAATTCCAGAGGTTACCCTTATTTTATGGAGTCCCTTAAAAGTCATCCATCTCATATGGATCAATCATGATTTCAGTAACTTGAGATGTCGGTATAATGGCAGCCCTCCCCCCTTGTCCCACTCCAACAGATAATGTTCGGTCAGTAAGCTGATTGGATCATAATATGGCTCAATTACTCTGCCTGTAAAGACTAAGTACATCTTCACTAGGTTCAATAAGACTCAACTCATTCCACGAGCCAGTCATCTTCTTACCACCTCTGCTTCTGTTCCAATGACTTATGCCAGAATATTCACATTTGGCGGCAGCCTAATACCACCCATATTTGTATACACTGTCACTGCCAATACCATCTTATGTTCATATAATGGTTTAGTAAACCTTTCTGGCAAGATTGGAATCTGCACCTTTGGCTGCAACCTAATACCAGCCATATGCATGTTCACCCTTACTCCTGATATAATTTGCCTGCTCTTAGCTATTTCTGTACAAACCTAGACTTCCTGCCTCTCTTTCAGTAAGGATCCTCATCAAACACCAGTCCTCTTTGTTTTCCTCCCCTTAGGTAATCAATTGTTATTCTAGCCATTTTTTTTATCCCTAAACCCAATTTAATTCTTTCCCTTCCATCTGTCACTATACAAGACTTTGGGCAGCTCCTATTCAGCGCCTGGACAGTTTACAGTTTGGTAAAAGAAGCATGCATAAGAAAGAGGATTATGGAATATAATGACACTCTACTGAGATAAGGCCTGAGGAACATAATTACACTAGGCTGAAATACAGAGCAAACAATCTGTATCAAAGATTTCACTATACAGGAGTTTTTCCCCATTATTATTTTTGGTGCTTGTAGCAGTTAAAAATGATAAGCACGTTATATTTTATGAGCTTCCATCCTACGAGCTGAAGGTAGCAGTTACTTTTAAAATACATTTACAAGCATTAGCTTGTGCATTTAGATGCATTTCAATTTCATTGTTGTCCTTGAAGAAGTGGCTTACAAGTGATTACTCAAGCTGAGAAAATGTTTACAAAACTTGCTCCTACTGTCTGTTTTAGAGTAGTTGCTTGCAGTAATGGCATGTGTGTTTCTACTGGATAATGTTGAGGGTATTGGATTTGTGCATCACTTCATATTTAAAGCATATGTAAACCCAATCTCTGAACTCTCATATAAGCATTAACATGTTCAGCTCATTTCAAAAGCTACTTTTAATTTTTTTCAATCTGCAACTTTCATTACAATAGGTGGTGATCCTGCCATGAAGGTCCTTCAACCACTTCCAGCGACAAGGCTGTGTACCTGTCCCCAATAATAGGTTGTGATCCTGCATGAAGGTCCTTCAACCACTCTCGATGACAAGGCTGTGTACCTGTCCCCGATTTGTTCCTGCCCTGTCACTCTGGCTTCTTAGAGACTACAAGTGGCTGTTTCAACACACATTACACAGGTATGGCCCACTGTTGTCACCATCAGGAAACCCACCCTAAAAATGCCATACAGCCATCACTGGAGTATAGGTAGATAGAAAGTGGTTGCAATAGGGCTGCAGCAAATCAGAAGCACTGAGATGCAACAAATGATGAAAAACCAATGATTGTATTTAAAAAACTGGCAGCTTTTTACGACACATAGAGCTTTAGCACACTAAAGGTCATTCAGTTAGGGTTTATACATACTTTAAATATATAAATGCAATCACTTGCCCATTATTAGTGACATACAAATATCAAGCCCCATTAGCACAAATAGTGTACTTTACATACAACAATCTTATCATCCCAACAGCTACTCCTGGTGGCGGATATCTTTGCTGCGAGAGCAAAGGGACGGTGGTCTCATCACTGTGTTGTTGCACCTTCAATGTACAAATAGCAGCCTGATGGTGCATTCTGACCAGTTTTCTTGACAAAGCTGTGCTGCTACTGCTGCAGGGGAGGATAGGGACCTGGTTGTGCTGTCTGGCCGGGGTGTCAGCATCACAAAACTAGCAGTACAGAATTGAAACTCATCTAGCATTAAAACAGCTTCAATATATATTTAGTCTATTTAGCTGTCTGTTTTGGAGTTCAGCTTAAAAAAAAATGTAAGAACATAATAATTCCAGCTTTGTGCATTCCAGCTAAATAATTCGACCTGCCACTACAAAACTGAAATTGACAAAAGATTCTAATTAACAGTTGAGTAGTACTAGGAACCAGCAATGTAGCAATAGTAGATTAAGTGTTTACAGCTTGTGGCAATCTTTGGAATAAACTAAATTAAAAACCAACTCAACAGTCAATTTTTTCTTTTTTTAGTGGACTTGGCAAGAACATCTGTGAGAATTTTATTGTTCTTATTGTCTCCACTAAGAAGATTTCCACTAACGTTTTGTCCTGGTGATGGGTGGCAACACGATAGTAGGTGATGAGACAACTCTCTACTGGTGACGTAGCCAACGATGAGCACTTAAAGAATACATTTACTTTCAGAATTAAAATGCATTTATTCTTTTTGCCCCCCTCCTCTAACCTAAACAGCCCCACCCTTGCCCTCCACAGATCAATGCTTACAGAGAACAGAAGGATACCCTGCTGTTTGTTGACTTCCAGCACTGCAAGTCTCCATCTCCTGGCAGTGTCAGTCTCCCAGCCCGGTGATGGCCCCATCAAAGTGTATGGGACTGTAATGTGCCGGTGTGGCCAGCAGAGGGAGAATTTCAGTGCTGGGTGTAAACAATAAAGAAACCATGCCCACCAGATCCTGGCAAGTACAGATCTAAGAAGGGGGAAAGTGGGTTTAGGTCAGGAGAGGGGGGAAAAAAGGGTTAAATGCACTTGTTTTAAAGTGCTTTAAATCGGGGATAGGCAAACTCTGGCCCTCCAGCTGTAGTTCAACTATAAATCCCATTAGGCACTGCAAGACTGTCAGCCACAGGCATGACTCCATGAGGCAAATGCATTGTCAGATATGTAGCTTCACCACAGCTTGAGGGCAGGCGCTTGCATACCGCTGCTTAAAAGTGATCTTGTCATACGGAAATATGGACTGTCGCTGCAGAGCATCTTTTGAAAAGTCAGTTTCCTGGCTGTATCGGTTTTCAATACTTTTGAATCACAGACCCATCAAGAGTTCCTAAATATCAAAAGGACAACCAGTGAAATAACATTCTCAAAGAAGGTCAGAAATGGAAGCCTCCATATTTTCTCATGACAGAGTCACGTTAACAGAGGTCCTTACTCTTTTACACTTTAAAACTAGAGGCTTTTTTTATTAGTACAGAAACCAGCCTGTTCAAGATTTGGGTTCTCTACTACTAATGACCAAACATAAAAGATACAGGTGAAACTCGAATAATTAGAATATTGTGCAAAGTTTATTTATTTCACTAATGCAACTTAAAAGGTGAAACTAATATATGAGATAGACTCATTACATGCAAAGCAAGATAATTCAAGCCGTGATTTGTCATAATTGTGATGATTATGGCTTACAGCTCATGAAAACCCCAAGAACCCCAAATCCACAACCTCAAAAAAGTAGATTATTACATGCAATCAATAAAACAAGGATTGTACATAGAACAATATCTGAAAAGTACAAGCATGCATATGTACTCAGTACTTGGTTTGGGCCCCTTTTGCAGCACTTACTGCAATTACTTTTGCACCATATTCTTATTATTCGAGTTTCACCTGTATACGCTGTCCATCGTGCAGAGGAAACAATCTGGTGGGTCTGAGAATGACCACATCTTCTGCCCTGCCTAAAAATGATCACAGCGGCTAATCATTGGGCAAGAAAGTTGACAACAGGCCATACCCATGGTGACTGCTGGCAGAGAAAAGTCTTAAACAAGCATCTTTGCACACAATCTGCACATACTGCAGTCCTTTAAAAGCAGATATATCACCTGCTATTAGGTTACATAATGCTTTCGGAACTTGGCAGATATATTCGTTTTTGTGCTTCAGGAAGATCAAGCTTCCGTTATTACATTTTCAATAATATAAAACATAGTAACAGTGTAATCAGCTAGCCACAAATTGGAAAGGTTAACAGTAATGCATGCATTCTTTTGTCTATAAAAATCTGAGGCCTATTGAAGCTACAATAATGGAAGAAAATGAAATTCATACATAGAGTGCTATTGTTCAGACATCAACGGCAAGGATACAAATAATACAATGAATATGAAAAGGTACAAGAAACAGAACTGTAACTTAAAATAACAATTCTGCACAATGATAGAACACTTTTTACAAGTTGACGCTTTACAGGGCAAATTATTTTGTTCAAGCACCCTACTAAATCAGATCCAGCTCTGCACATACAGAATGAATATTTGAATGTTGAGAATGAGAATGCCGTGTCTGGCTCTGTTCCTGCCGTGTCCCCGGGAAGGCCTTTCATTCTCATGTTACCTGCACCAGGTGAGGGAGAAGTGCAACAAAGTTTCCAACACTTAAAAGAATTAATCACTGACATTCCTGCGTCCACTAGTCAACAGCGATCCTCTGCCTTGTAATGAGGACCTATCCTAGGCCATGGCACTCATGAACTGGGATGTTCAGTAATGTTCTATTTTGCTTTGATGAATATTAAAGCAAACCTGTGCTTTGCCTACACAGGGCAATATCATAGGTACACTTTAAAGTACAGCCCACTTCCTGTAGCAGCACATGCTTACTTTATTTGCTCTCCTGCCGCTCTGTTCTGCTACTTGGAGTGAAGAAAACACCCAGTATGTCCAGGTATGGAGTAACATTCGACTCATTCCTCCTTTTCATTTGACCCTCTAATGCAGGGGTGGCAAACACAAGGCCCGCGGGCCGAATCCGGCCCGCCGGACCTTGTAATGTGGCCCGCACAGCAGCCAGGGCCGGTCCGCTATGCCGACTCTGTGCAGAGCAGTGTCTACTGTGTGGTAGCGAGCAGAGCCGGCACTACCACACAGTAGACACTAGAGGGCGCTGGTGGGGGAGGCCAGAGAAACACCTCCTCCCCCAGCCCTCTCTACTCTGTGCTCTTTCTGGAGCTTGCTGGTGCTGTTCCTGCAGCCTGCACTGTCCCGGTACCGGCCGAGATATTAACATATGAATGGGCCGCGGTAATTTGCATATCAATAAGCCGCGGCCCATTCATATGTAAATATCGCGGCTCATATGTAAATATCGCGGCAGGGTTAGTTTTAATTTTTTTATTGTTTGTTTCCCCTTTTATTAGCACTTTTTACATTTTTTAACTTATTTATCTTATCGTTTACTTTTTATTTTTTTATAATTTTTTATCTTATTATCGTTTATTTGTTATATGTAGCTTAGTAACTAGTTCTCTGCCCTCTGATTTATGGGTACAGCTTCCAGAGTACAGATTCAGTGATGGCTTTAAACTTTCACAAAGTATAATCACAACATATTTTATGTTATAATGGAAAGATTACAAACCTTATATACATTTCTTCTCTCTCAATCTCTTTGTAGAAATTCTGCAAAGACAAAACAACAAATGTTACTTTAGCTATCTTTCCATGGCTTTAATGTGCATCCAACATTTCTCATTTATTCAGTAAAAATAAGAACGCGTAAGTGTATGAGTCCTTGTCTCTCCAGGACTAGGCCCAGTTTTTGAGAATTGTTTAGCAGACTGGTTTCTAAATTCAGCTTTGTATTAACTGGGATTTTGTTTCTTGGATTATGGGTTGGAAGAGCCTTCATTATCTCCCTGAGTCAAGTCTATCTTCTTCAGGGTAAGACAATACAAATATTACATAAGCAAAAAGTAGAAGTATGGACCCACATACTTGACGGCACACATAAATATACTAGAAGTACAGTCCTGCACTGGGAGGGTACCAAGTGCTTACATACAATGTGGAAAGGGGTATTGGACAAGAAAAGAAACCCGTTTTAGACCATAGGGCGGGTTGCAGCTCAACAATACCTTGATCCACTTCAAATTAGGGGCTTATTTCTTTTTGCAGAACATCTTAGTGTATTGTAAGTACCACATAAGAATTCCTAAGCAGCCTCTTCTACCTGGTCAGTGAGTGTTACAAGTCCCTGGTACCTTGTCAAAGGCCCTCACAATCCTCTTGTGACATGCCAGGTGTTCTTAACAGGCTCTTTAAAATGTGCTAGCAGTGTTTTGTACCATTGAATCATGCAATAACAGTCTTCTGCAACTTCACTAAAGTCTTCACAGTCTTTTAATAAGCAGTGAAGAAAACAAGTGCTTGGCCCTTTTGTCAAAAATAGGCAAAAAACTCAAAAACGTGCTTGTGTTAAGTCACAGATGGCATCTTCATCATATGAAAATACAGGTTACATAAGAAATGTATGTACAGGAAATGTATGTGCAAGCTGCCCTCTTTATTTCCATCTTTAATTATTTTTTTTTACAACTGGAATTGTCTTATAGCTGGAAGGAAATAGTTTGCCTTCTGTGGCTCCAGTTCGGTTTTTCTGCTAACCGAACTTTACCATTAAAGTGCATCTATAGCCGAAAATAAAAAATCTTATAAGTAATATGGATTTGATATTCCATGTTACCCAGCATAGTTGTTTTAAATATAGTGCCTGGGAAGTTGCAAAAGATACCTTTGACTAATCCAGCAGGACTCACTTCCTAGACTGTGGTGACACAAAACACTCATGCCCTTTCCATATACAGAGCCGTTTTACCCTGTGCAGAGTGCATTTCTGTGAAACTTCAACTGAATGCCTGGATGTTCTATGTGTTCAGACATTGAGCATTAATGTCAGCGCACACCCCACCTGTGTCAATCATCAGTGCAAACTTTCTCTCTCCGGTCCGCTTGTCTGCTCAGTGGGCGCTGTTTCAATAGCCAGCCTGCTATTGGCTATTGCAATTTGAAATAGCCAATAGCAAGTTGACTATTGCTGCTCGTTGTTTACATTCTACTGCCGACTGCGGAATCTAGCTGCTGGCCGGCAGCAAGATGCAAATAAAGAATTTCCTTAGTAACGAAATAAATTTAGTTGCTAACAAAATATTTTAGCGTGCACCAAGCAACCGACGATCTTTTAGTGTGCATCAAGGCACCAGGAAAAAATAATCGAGGACATATTTCCTCGATTTTTTTTCACCGGTTGCTTGAATCCCGGATAATAGGGAGTTTACTGTATGTTTCATGCCATTAGGAAAGTATAACCCATCTTGTGAGTAGACACTGACCAGAACGTTGACAGTGCAGCTCATCCGGTTCTCTTTGTTCTCATCGTGCATTATTGTTCTGTAGTCCAGCAGTCTCTCCATCAGGCGGACAACCAAGTTCACAAAGGTCTCTCCAGTCTTTGCCAGATACTTATGTTTCCTACAGTGTTCCAAGAGTCAGCAAGGAGGAGGATAAAAAAAAAAAAAAACTTTACTCCAATCTGGTTCCTGAATAAAATGTTATTTTAATCCCCGCGCTTCATTAGCACATGTTAATTATAAATGAAGTGTAAAGTTCACGGCTTGCTTGTTATTGTCTCCTGTGCCTATACTTGGGTACAAAGCTTAGCGGTTAATCAACACTTACATTTTCTCAAACAACACTTTGTACTGCTCATCCCCTCTCCCGCCTTCCACTTCGTGGTCCAACTTTGTGATAATCTCATTCTCAAACTGAAAGACACAGAACATATACACAAGATTATACGTACTGACAGCAAACAAAATGTACTTTAGTCATAGATCTCATGAACTCCAGACAGATATAAAAGACAAAAATTAATGCAGCTCTGTAATCATTAATGCATACTTTAATGTATTTTTTAAGTTCAAGCAGTGAAAAATCCATGAGTTTATCCGGCCTCATGGAGTCACTGTACAGCAGAGCTCAGACCGAGGAAGAAAAAAGCAGCACAAGGAGCCAGCCAGTTGTATTGTAGTGCAAGCAGCATGCTGATAGGACATAGTAGCAGTCACAAGTTGAAGGAGGGGCAAGACCAGTAAGTGCTGCTGAACGGCAGCAAAGAAAAATCAGGCCTTCTCATCTACCAGACAGGGCTGTGCTGGGTGGTAGAGCTGTACAAATCACAAAACTGGATGGACAGAAATAAACATCCTTTGGCTCCTTTACATATATTCTATCTGTGTATTTAACCATTTACATGGAGTCCAGCTTCAAAATGGTTTAAAAGGATATTAGAAGCCAATAACTTGCCCTTTTGATATGCATGTAACATACCCATAGGTTAAACAAAACAAAAACAAAAAAAAACCCACCTGCATCCTCAACCATAAAACAGCAGCTGATTCTGAAGAAGGCAAACCCCTAAAAAAAAACCAAGATAACTCCCTCAATATTCTCTGCAATGTTATATCTTTTCTAGTATTTAGATTCATTTGTATTTTATACACCCCGTGCCATTTTTTTTAAGCAATCCATCACTTCTGCTAGCACCCATTTTTGTGGATTGCTACTCCTCATTTTTCACAGCTCTTACAGTTAAGAACCCTTTCCATATTCAGAGGTGAAACCTCTTTTCCTTTCGTCACTAAGAACATCCTCCATGACCTTTAAGTGAACAATCAATATGAAAATATACATTTTCTGTATGTGCCTTTTGTATTTATACAAGGTAACGAGAGCCCTCCTTAATAGCCTTTTTTCAAGAGTAAATAAATTCAGTTCCATTAAACTGTACTTATAGCTGAAGTCATCTCTCTGCCCTTTTCTGCAATCTTTTCAGGTCCACGGTATCCCTTTTTGTGAATGGAGTCCAAAATTGAATTACATGGTAAATAGCCTGATGGTCCCTGCTGATTGGAGAGCTCTGCAGAGAGACCACTGCTTCCAGACAGGATCGTTCTCTGCAGAGAGACTACTGCTTCCAGACAGGATCGTTCTCTGCAGAGAGACCACTGCTTCCAGACAGGATCGTTCTCTGCAGCATGCCTGGCAGGGGACAGACTTCTCTATCCAGGCTGTGGCTGATAAAAGGAATTATAAGACAGGGAACATCTTTTGTGTTGATGTACCTGGAATTAGGGATGCACCAAATGCTCCCTACGCCTAGCTCGATACTGGAACTTCCGATATCAGGAAGCTGGGTGGTGAGTCAATACACGCAGCCTGGCTTCCTGATTGGCCGGGAACCTGGCTTCATTCACACTCAGCATGGAGTCGGCTTCCCGGCCATTCAGGAAGCCAGGCGGCGTGTAATGACTCGCCGGCCGGCTTTCTGATTGGTCAGGAAGCTGGCCAATGAGGCAGCCGGGCAGCGAGTCATTACCTGCCCCCCAGCTTCCTGATTCCCCCTGAAAGCCGGCTCCATGCTTCCTCGTCACCTAGTGGACAAGGGAGCACGGAGACGGCTTCCTTAATGGGACTTATATCGATACTCGTACTCTATACCGAGAAATCAGTATCAGTGCATCCCTATCTGGAATGTATTTATCGGATTTAAAATGAAACATCTAACAGGCTTTAAAGTTAAATACTCAGGCTCCTGCATGTTAAATTATGACTGGTTCTCTTTAAGGCCCTTAAATACAAGCCAGGCTGCATTTGCTGGCATCCCAAGGAACATATAAAACAGACATTCATAGAATTTAACTTTTCTTTAATCTCATATTCCTTTTTTTTCTGTTTCATCTGCATTTCAGTTTTTGGGAAAGGAAAAAAATTAGCATAATTAAAAAGAACAGAAAACAGGATGTGGCTTTAATTAAAATTACTATCATTATCTCTTCCCGTAATTACATATTATCTATTATCGCTTACAACCTTTCAGGAGAATTGTGCAGTTGATTAATTTGGTATGTTAACTACGATTATAAATTTGACCTTTTTTCCTGAGCAGAAATGAGCCGAAACTGAGATATTTATATCGGTTTAGATAAGTATTGAGGGGAGACGGTGTATCGCATCAGGCGCTTTGACCTTTTGCTATTTTCAGGCTGCGACCTTACAGATAAGCCAATGTACTACACTAGATACATACAAAATTGACTGAACTTGAGTTTTTTTTCCATGGTATCCGGCACATGCTTTGTTAAAAGGAAGAATACAGTCTGTATGGCGGAGGTAGGACGGAGTTTACCGGAATTCTCCCAAAGGCCTCTTTTACTGCACTGCCCTCATGACCTCTGTTCCTGCACACTTTCCTCTACATTCTATAAAATAAACTATGATGCCACAACATATTACATCTTCACTACAGTACACTTCGCTATAATACAGGCCCATATAAGTGATCTGGCAGTCCCCTCTTTGCCTAGATGGTCGGTTTGAGAGTTTATATGGACCTAAAAAAGACCTTCTGCAGGTTGCCCAACCTGAATTTAAGAGGAACTCGAGAAATCTTAAAAATTAACCCTTGCCATGGAGCTACCTGTGCACTGCAATGGTTAACTACTTTTTTTGGTCTAAGGGGCTCAAATAAAAAAAAAAATATATACTCACCTGATTCTCAGTCCTGCCTAGCTGCTAGACCGATCCCCACATCCTCTTTTCCCCGGGCTCCAGCGGTCTAAGGCCCTGTGACGTCATCACGCCTAATGCAGGTCCATTCAAACTGTGCACTTATTCTTTAAGCGCAGGTTTACGACATTTTCCGGCAAGATCTGGTCCAGAAAATCGTGTGAACCTGCCGCAGTTCCAGTGCATTCCAGACCAGACAAAATGAGACAAGCAGTATTTTTCTGGTCTGGAACAGAAATAGCATAGGGATACATTAAGATGCATTTTGGGTTCGAAAACAATCTGGTCTGGTCTGGAGATTATCTGGATGTGGTGTGAATGGGCCCTAAAGGCCAAATGACAAGATTGTACTCTACTCCTGGAGGAAAAGAGGCTTAACCTACACATTGAGAAAGTCTTTTTTACAGTAAGAGCTGTGAAAATGAGGGTTAGAGTTCTACAGATAAGTCTTTCCAGCTGTAAGTTTGTTTAAAAAAAAAAGATTAGAAAGATTTGTTTTTCCTGTTGGAGCAAAATGCAGTGGCGGCACCAGGCTGGGTGTCACCCGGTCGACCACCATGCATGTGTTACACCTGGTGCGGCCAACATGCATGTGTTATGATGTCCGTGATGTGACATTTTGGTGACACCCCCTCGGATGGTGTCACCCGGTGCGGTACTACCCACGTGACACCACTGGCAAATCGGATAATGATTTTGAAGGGTAAACTGCTGGTTTAGAGTTTTGAGGATGCAGGTTTTAAATGTATGTGCTTTTGTCTTTTAGTTGAACTCTATGGACATGTATCTTTTTTCCCCAACTAATTATGTAACAGTAATAACTGTTGTATGGAACATTTCGAAAAGCAATTATATCCGAATGATGAAGCCCAAATTTGCAGCTTGAAACCAAGCTCACAATATTTATCAAGCTTGTATACCCTAATATGACATTCAATATAGATAGGACAAGACATTGACAATAATGCTTTCCCAAGGTTCGGATTTACTACATGCAGAACCATTAAAAACAGTCATAATGGATCCACTAATGCCAGAGTTCAAAGCCGATCCAAGATTATTGCTGCAAATCTGCCGTGCCTTACAACTTACAAGTGGCTGGGGAATGGCAGAACAACAAAACTCCCAAACCATTAAGGTCCCTGTTCCATTAAAACTTAATGAGTACAGTTCTAGTTACTTAAATGCTCTGTGCGCCAATAATTATTAAGCGTTTGCGCTTTACTCACCTGCGTGGGGATGAGCACAATATATCCACACTGAACATTTACATTGGGATACAGACCGTTAATTTCCATCACAAACTTATTAAGTCTTTCAGCTATTTCTGCTAAGTCTGGAAACGGTCTCTGGAGCTGCACATGGCTAAATAACACTTCACAGGAATTTACACCGATGAAAGCTATTTTTTTTTCAGCTTGAAAATGTTGATAGAATTTTGTATTTTTGAAGTAGGTGCAGAATTATTAGACAATTAAAGGAAAAGTGTACAGAGACGTCTGGCAGGGAAGACGCTGACAGTGCTGCCCCCATCCTTAAAAATGCTAGCTGCCTTGCTATTATGCCGATTTAAAGGCTTTAATACCATCTGAGGGACAGACCCGGCACAAGTATGTCAATCAGATGGTCTGACTTTAATCTGACTTATTTTGCATTTTGGCCCAGTGATCCATATACACCCAGGAAACACATTTTTAGAAGTAGGTTGACAATGGCAGTGCACCCTCTATTTGTCGAGGTTAAAACTCAACTTCCAATATTTTGAAAGGCAAATGTGCAATCAGTAGGACTGTGGCTAATATTAAGATGTGAAACTGCCACTTAAAGTCAACAATAGGAATCTCCAGCTTCCTGCACATGCAGGGAGGACCAGCCATGACCTTACAGGACCTTACATGGTTACACGGCTATATTAGTTAAATTAGATTTACCCTCTTCCCGAATTGTGATGTGTGTGATGAGAGGTTCCCTCACTTTGAAGAGATTTACTTTAACTTTTGTGATTGGTCAAGGTGAAGATCGTGATGTTCATCTGCACCTCCCCTTGTCCACCTTGTATTGCGTAAAAATAACACAAGACATTTTGAGTGTCTGAGGAGGAGAGTGAGCGATCCACCATAAGAACTGTACCAGAGCTGCGACTATAAGGCTTCATTCACAGTGTGCGATTAGATGTTTTTATATGCATTTAAAAAGCTTTTATAAATGCATATGTGTGTGTGTGTATATATATATACTGGTGCTAGGATTTGCTAACAGAAGCATCTGATGTCATTGTATGCTCCAGAAGAAAGGCACAGAAGAAAGGCTCCAGAAGAAAGGCACAGAGTTATATTCATTTATATGCTTTGATAAAAAATTAGAAGTCAGCTGCATCTAGGAACCGATTTGAACTTCTAAAAACGCAGCAAAACTAAAGTGAAAGGACTGGTGCTAGGATTTGCTAACAGAAGCATCTAAACACATAAGCATCTAAACACATAACACAAGCAGCGAGTGTGAATGAAGCCTAAGATTTAGCACTGGACACATTCGGTCCTAACATATGGTGTACAGGATTTAGGACCGTAAGGCTGTGACGGTGGCACGCGGCCTTCGCTAGCAGTGTGTCATGTAATTCTCTCCCCGGCACGTCAGCTTGCGAGAGCTCGCATAGCTGAGCGTGCAGAGATAAAAAATTTCCTCTTCAGCCAATCGGCTCGCGCGTATAAACAGGCGCGGCAGGATGCGACGTCCGGCCGGTTGTTATGCACGAGCCGATTGGCTGAAGGTGCTGTCAATCATCTGCCTGCACTCAGCTGCCACACTACACGCAAAGCTCCGTGCAGGACAGCTTTGATTCGCTCTGCACGGCTTTGCGTGCCGTGTCACAGGCTTTATACCGAATGCAGCAGCAGCCAGACATGGGACAATAATCTTTAGAGGCATTTTGTACACAGAAATTGCTGAAATATTGTTTTTTCCCCAGAGTCCAGGTTAAAATTCCCTATGTTACGTCAAAAATTAAAAAAAAAAGATTTGCCTTCAAAATACAACTAAAGCATAAACATTTCTCAGCTTTGGATAGCGTGAAGAAGGATTAGAACACCTTTTTGATTTTTACTGCGGTCTGTGTCCCTGTTAAATAGATTCACCCCCTCTATTTATCCGGGTGACTGTTATCACGGAAAGTGAAAGAAAATCACACATTTTGGGCTGTCATCAGAACAGGTATAGATGGGAAATCTTCCAATAGGGACACTAGTTCTGGTGACCCTGCTGACCACCAGGAATCTGCCTCACTCCTGTGGTGGCTATGGGACAGGAAGTGAAAGGAAATCTCGACACAGATGGCATAAAATGCTGACAGGGGTTATAACCCTCCCTTACTCTATCTAAAATTAAAAGAAATGTTTTGGCTGCCGTTCTACTTTAAATATTAATGTTAATGCTTTATGACTCCTGCTTATGATTTTCCCTATGCAGTACAATATAAAAAGAAGAAAAAAAAAGAAGAGCAAACACTAAGCATAACCTGCAAACTGGCAAAGTTTGTTTTCTCCCCACCAAAGAAACATTTGCAGTATTTCTGCATCTAGCATATACTTTAGCTCAGTTGTCAATTATAGAACGTTATCAAACTGTGAATTTCTCAAAACAGTGAACTGCTGATTACAATTGCAAATTTGTATTGAATTCCTTAGTTCGCGAGTGCCATTTAAATAAACAATTTTTAACCAATGATCACGGTTCGCTTGCTTGTACATTGACAGACAGCTGAGAAGGCTCTATATGAATATTGTGAACTATGGCAGTTTCTGGAGGTGGATAAAAGAAAAGACCGTTCGCAGAGCAGCGAGTAGAGAGTTTGAATTCAGTCTATATATTTTTTATATGGAAAAAAAAGGGAAGAAAAAGCCGGGGCATTAAGAAGATGGAAACCGCTGCCTGTCCTCATGCTTTGACCCGCTGAGATGCAGCACAGAAGCGTGGGAGTGAGTGGGAGATCAGTAAGATGTCATTGTATGCTCCAGAAGAAAGGCACAGAGGCCTTTAACACACTAACAGTCATGCCGCTATTGTGTTTGCTCTGTCTACATTCTCCGGTGTGCAGAGTACAACCTTAATTAATCCTCCGGGTCACAATGCAGAGATAATGCTTTGCAAGATACACTATCATTATTCTAGATTATTATCTGCGTAATGCTATGTCCCTACTGTTTTATCGTTTTAATTAATTGTGCATGAGGTCAAGGACCACTAACCTTAAAAGTTACATGATGTGAAAGACCTACTAACATTACAACTATGTACGTAATGTACCATAGTTACAAAGAATGTAAGCGGCTAAGTGTGTGGCACGAAAGTCTTCTGGTGTGGGGTCCTGAGTAATGATGAGCAGGGGCTTGGTGTAAACCCAATTTGCCCAAGCCCGCACAAAACTGTGACTGCCACCCCCCCTCCTGGCCCAATCATTTACGGCAGGGGCATTCCCTGTTCCTTAGTGTAGCTGGGGTGGGGAATGCTCCTGCTGTACCTGATTGGCCCGGGGGGTGTCAGTCACAGTTCTGCATGGGCTTGGGCAAATTTAGGCAGACTGGGCTCACACCAAGCACATTAGTAGTTCTGCGCTCAGCTTCCACCAGAGAAACTATCTGCAAGGGGTTTGTATCTGCATGAGTTTTCTTCACTTTCCCTTTGCAATCTAAAGACAGATTAATTGTCTTTTTACCCAAATTCTGACACTGTCCTTCCTTCTGGAGGTCCTGTGTGTATTGTAAAGAAGTTACCGCTCCAAGCTCACTCCTGTGATGGACTACAATCTCAATACAAATTAGTAAACTAAATATGAGATTGTAGTCCATTCCCGGAGTGAACTTGTAGAGGTGGCTACTTTACAACACACACAGGGACCATGGGGAACAAAAGTAGCCACCCTCCTGAAAGAAGAACAGTGTCCACAACACTTCAGAGATGATTTGAGGAACTACAGCCAAGCCACACACATAAGCAAATTTTTTGTTAATAGTTAAGGTAGTTGCATTCCGCATTTTTAACATTTAACTCCTGAATTTAGTGTCACTTTGAATTGTATTTATTGTGTGCTGGTCAACCCAGCTTACCATCTGAAAGCTCCTTGTGGAATGGAATTCACACTGCATCATGTCAAAGAAAATCGGGATGGTGGCTTTCCGTAGCTCTGTCTCCGGGATCAAGGTCATCTCCAAAATAGGGCCAACCATTTCAGGAATGAATTTGATTTTGTGCTGACCTTTAAAAGGAAACAAAACAGCTGATATCAGAACACTCACAAACATCAGAGGATGGAGAAAATACGTCCGTAACAATCTGCTTCTCTCCTTGGAATATACCCTTATTTAAGTAGATAACCTTCAGGAAAAAGAGCCGCATTATTATATTTTAAACAGTCTATAAGTACAATTACCAGACAACTATTCAAGGGGGAATCGAAGCAGCACTTGAAAGGCTTTCAAAAACCAGGCACGTTAACTTGCATACACTTTTAAACATTTGTCTGGATTAAATCAGACAGAGGGGGAGAGAAAGTGCTTGGGGCGGCTCTTCTTTATGCCTAGCTGGAGAAAATGTTATACACCTACTTTCAATTTAGTAGGAAGAAATTATTTAGGTGTCATTTATTTAGAAATTGTGAAAGAAAAACCATCAGGCAATAACTAAAACCCCTGAGTGAGCTACTAATGATACATTGCAACTGTGCTGAAGTATGCAAGTCTACTCTGCTTACTATATAATCATTTGTAGTCATTCAGCACTGCAGCCTCTTGTCATTCTGTGCCTTTAAAGGCCCTGCACATACAGAAAGGTACCTTTTGATTTCCCAGAAATACACTCGGCTCCTAAATCCCTTTGTGGGCCGACAGTAAGTAGCATTTTTGTGGAGTGAGTGGGGTCAGCCCTGCCCATTGTCTTTTGCTAAACTACTCAGGGACTCCTACTCTCAGATCTCCACAACATAAAGGCTAATGTTCAAGCCTTGTAGCCCACAACACGAACTAGGAAGGCACTTTTGAGATAACCGTTTCTTTTTTTTTTTTTTTTTTTTTTTTATTATCAAACAGTTATAAACAAGATTCTTTCAATAGTATATTAAACAGACCAAAAGGGAGCACACAACAGAAGTGCATTGTTAGGGTTTGCATACCCTTTAAGTAAATCTCAAGCCAAAACCTTTTTTCCCATTTTGTATAGTCTATGAAATGCTTAATAAAACTGTTAGGTTCTTTTGTTACCCTTCTCCCACTGGGGAAAATTCCCTTGAATTCCTGTCCTGTAGACACAACAGAAAGTAAGGGGAAATCGTCTCTTAGGTATTTGTCATCAGAACAGGTGTCTCCCTTGGGAGACTTGTCGTCTATTCCTGGTTTGATGACTGCTTAAAATTTGTGATTTTCCCAAATTTAGTCCCAGTGCCGCGGGTGACCTGGACAAATAGCGAATAATTTCCCTAACAGGAACACAAACATCAACCAAAAATAGACATCGGTTCTAATCCCTCACCACTTTACCAAAAAATGACTTTATATAGACAATAATGTGGTAATCAGGTTGATTATGGCTTTAGACTTCTATTACATCTTCCAGCAGGAGAGAGTACGACACCTGGCATTGTCTACATCTGGGGTCAGTCCAAATAAGCCTTCATAATGGCTGCAGCAGGTGGGTGGAGCTGGGAACTCAAGTGTTAAGATCTTGCCAAAGAAACTGCCAAGTGATTAAAGCAGCTAGTGGGCAATTAACAGGCCTATGCTTATGGGTGGAATATCCAGTAAAAAGAAACAGACCTTGGGAGGCTGTGTCCCAAAAAAACAGGCAGAGGGCAAAGGAATAGTCACCAGCACTGTCTTTGATCTTTCTGCAGCTGATCTTTACCCTATTTTAGACTTACCATGCCTTGTTCTGCTCTGAGTCCCTCTGGAGGGGGCGATCTCGGTAGAGGCAGGATTGCTTCTTCATGTCTGTGCCTCCAACAAGTGAACAGTGAGCAGCTCAGTAGTCACCAGCGACCAGACCAAAGATCAGCAAATCCCCAAATCTCGTCAGAGGCAGCAAAGCCTAAAAGTCTCATTGCAGATATACAGCTGTGAAGATGTGCACAAGAGTACCTAGGAACACTGCTATTTTTTTAGGAGGAATTCCAGATAAAAGGTACATTTTTGGGATACTGGTTAGGAACAATTAACACTTCTAATGAGTCGGGCTGCATAACAAATAAAGAATATGGCTTTTTAAATAATAAGTATTCCATGTCTGTGATGAGAAATGAGGCAGCACACTGGAGAGCCGAACTGCTGTTCTTACACAGGTCGCATTGGACTAGGCCTTCTGTGGTCCAACACTCCCCTGCAAAGGACTCTGATAAAATTACACTCATGCTAAGCAACTGGAGCACTGAGCACTGGAGCACTGAGCAGTGGGTGTGTTGGACTGCTGGAGACCTGGACTGCTGCACTCTGCATGAGCGTGGCACTCCAGCTCTCTGATCAACTGTCTGCACAGGGCAGCTCCTTACAGTTCCAATCATACACCTATGCCAATCACACACATATATACTCGCTATACAGCCTGGCTGTATAACAAGTATAAAAAACAATACTTGGGCTTTACGTCACTGATCCAGAAGAAGCATGCAGAAGTTCCGACATCCTGACTTTGCTGACCGCATACGTATTCAGGGTCAGGGCAACCATCATTTCTCAAGAAGGTCAGCAATGGCAGCTCCCCATATTTCATTCAGCACAGGTTTCCTTTAAGCATCCACACCTTCTCTTCCAAAGAAAACTTTAAATTGATGGAAATAAGAGATGACTGCAGCCGGGCTTGAAAAGTGAGCGACAGACAATGTTCTGAGCTTCAAGCTGCACAAACATAAGTTTCCGATCAAGTGACAACTTGGATATTTTACACTCGTGGAGTTAAAAATAAATAAAAAAGGCACATGAATTCCCCCTCCTGATTGAGTGACCCTGGAAATGTTTAATGGTTTGCAGTGCACACTTCAAGGAGCTGTAAGGCATACTCCTTTTTCAGGGCTGTTATTTTCAAACTTGTCTGTGACAGTTTTCATGTATTATGTCTGAAAAATGTCAGAGTCAGTGTTTCAGAAAACAAATGCTTCTGACACCCGGTTATTCATCAAACACAGCATCAATGTCATAAAGTTTTCTGGAGGTTTTATTGCTCTCGGTATAAAGATGCCACAGACAATGTAAACTTTCCGCAGCTGGCAATGCAATTGATAAAAGGTGGAATATAAAGCACACGATTAAAAGGTACAGTCCAGTCAAAATGGAAAATGTTACATTTACATTCTTTAAGGGAAAAGGTATTACATTTTTTTGTTCTGTCATTCATCCTGTGTAGATGACTTCCTGGCTGGTATGTATAGTTGAAACTTATATTTTTAGGTTTGAACAGAGTAGGAAAGGGATGGAACAGTGGTGGCCAGCTTACTTGATATAGGGGGCCCCAAGTGCAGACCCCAAACCTCATCAAAGGGCCATACATAATATACAGTGTATGTAATAATACATAAAATGGAGAGAGACAGGAAAGGCTACAGTAGATGGTCAGAGACTGCAGTCATGCTATGGGAAATGGTCAAAGACTGCTACGCAACTGGTGTGACACCAGGGACATGCTGCAGGAGACAGCCAGGGACTGGAAAATGTTACAAGGGCCTGCTAGAGCTCACTGCTATTATAGTCTCTTTACTAACCAGTGGTCCCTACAGCAGCCTTAAAAATAATAGCACACTTTTGATATTGCTCTCGGTAAGATCCATTATAAAAGGTAAGGAAGTGTGAAAGAAATAAATCAAATAATTGATCTAGTAGAAGGAAGTTTACATTTTTTTTTTTGCTTCACTGTCCCAGAGTAAGCATATAGGCAAGGAAAACTTAGATTAATGGCTGAAGGAGCTCAAGAACCACATAGGAAGTACAAAAGGTTAGGGGGGGCTTGGGAGGTGGGTAGAACCTCTGTCAATTTTTACTGCTGCCTGTGTCCCCAACTGGAGATATTGACAGCTGTCCCTGGAAGAGGTAACCCCATTGGAATAATTCTTACCGCCTTCTGTTTTGGTGACAACTTTAAAATTGTAGTTTTTTGCACCCTATAAGAAGTTCTTCCAACATGCAGTAACCGTGGATTCAAACAGAGAACTTCTGAGATAATAATAAGCAGCCAACCATTATTTTCCTTTTATACATGCTTTAGTGAACCCAAAACAATAACATTTACCAGTCATACTGATCTAATGGCTTCATAACCAAGTCGCTGACCATGAAAAAGTATGCAGAATGGGAGTTCAGACATAGTACTTGTTCCAGGGCAATGACAATGTACTGAGACTGGCAGAGATGATCAGATACTAGTATTTGAGAAGGAGAGGTGAGAAAATGCAACCACCATAGGATTTCTATGATGACAGCAAATTTGATCATGGCCAGGGCAGGATTTGCCCCTAGACCATATAAGCTGTGGCCTAGGCTGCCATTGCCTCAAAGGATGGCACCAAGCCCAGAAATATGTCCTAATGTCCTAGAGCCTGTGGGACTCTAATGCAAAATCCAGGACTCTCAACAGAGTGCCAGTGATTGTACTTTACTGCAGACTGAGCAAGAGCCCCAGACACTGCTCCATACCACTTTAAAAGCTCCAAGCACCCTGCAGTGTTCCCCAACAAACATCACCCCCATTGTTCCCACAGCCACATAAGTGTGCCCAAGCTCCCTACAGTGTGTGTGTGTATGTGTGTTACAATGTGGCTGGCCTAGGGGATAAAGTATAAACCCACCCCTGATCATGGCTTTAGCGAAGACTGATAAATATGGGCATTTTGGAGAGGGTGCTGAACATCCGTATTGTATAGGGAACATAAAATACATGGAAAAGGCACATACACAACTATAAGGCACTTTTATTATAGCCCAATCTGCTCATTTAATGTTCAAACAAGACATTTTTTGGCCAGTCATCAACACATACACAGCCTGATATATAGGTCGGAATTGATCTGTGTCTGTGCATAATCTGCCAGATATCGGCACCTTTATCAAAGCATATGAAGATTTAATGAGGAGTGCCTGAAATAGCTGTATTGATTGAATAGCTGCAGTACAGCATACATTACTTAATATTATTTACAGAGGAACAAGCTTGAAAGTTAGATCATCACAAACTTGGATGAGTACAACATTTCCTTTCCCCAATTTGGCAAGAAACTCATCAATTTGTGAGCGTATAAGACTTATGCCACTAAACTAGAGAACATTCCAGAGTCAAGGGTGCTCCACACACAAGGAACTGATGTTTAAATGATTGCAAGGACAATTATGGAGAAGGACCCTTCTTGGAATGTGCTTGACATTACAGAAGCAGGTGCTCATTATTATATTTAATGTGCGACTTTAGCATCAGATGAGGTTTTGGAGGAGATCATTTAAGGCAGGAAGCCACTGCAATGTAATGAGTTTATCTAACTTGTTATAAAGGAGAAGTCTCCTAATAGCATGTAACTCTTTCTTTCAAGGCCCACCTGCCAATTCTTGGGATCAAAGTACACAATAACGCATCTAGACCCAGTGACCCAAGTCCCTCTGCCAGTATTTAGAGTCCAGCTTTAATGCCACCTGTCCATGATTCTCTCTTACAATGCCACAGTATTTCCTGGGCACAAATATAAAAGTATCCACCACAAACACAATACCGCTTTATGGGAAAAAGCAGATGTCACTGACAATACACCTAGACCTCTTGTTTGACTATACCTCTAGTTTACAGAATACAGTGTTTAGTGATGCATGTAGCAATAGGCAAAACAGAGCAGCATGCTTCCACTATAGCAAACAGCTGCCGATAGTATGGACATTTCTGAATGCAGTACTTGGCAGAACTGATTGAAGATCTACTCTGCGGGACCACTGTGCAATGTCAAACACAAGGACTATACCGTCTGTTACCCATTCTGTGTTAAGGAACGACAATGGAAATGAACAGTACAAGAACATGTGAAAATCTGGCAAATGTAGTTATAAAAACTGTTAACTTGGTAAAAAGTTTTTTGACTATTAGCAGATAAGTATGATGGCATCCTACTGGTAGACGTTATGGAGTCAGAGGTGGCAAAAAGATATTCCATACCAGGGACTTATATTTTGTTGTAGAAAAATGTATTTGGCTTAACCAAGACAAATGAACCTGAACATTTATCTTTTAGTATCGGCTTACAGCTTTAGACCTATTCATTATTACAAATTATATTTATTTCACTATTATAAAGGTAGTACATTTTTACCAGAGTTTTCATAAAAGAACCCTTCCACACTACAGGAAGGAAGAGTTCCAAACAGTTTGAAGTCATACTTGACAACTAACGATCAACTGGAAATCATCTCAATTTGCTCAAATGAACATATTGAATTGACCCTCAACACTACCCTATGTGTAAGGATCAACAGACCATAAACAAAAAAAAAAAAAAAAACACAATTTAGCCCTACATCCTATATGAATATGAATAGAAATCAAAGAAAAATGCCTTACCTCTGACACAGCCGGCCGTGACTGGAGAAACCAGTCAGGGGCGCTCTGTTTTAATTGCAATCTCTCATCCTCTCCCTCATTGCCAGCACCAGATCTTTGGGCACAAATCAGTACTTACTATACTAGGACTTTCTAGGATGCATACATGTAGACGTATGCATTGGAGCAGGGTATTGCTGGCTGTTGATTAAACGTTTGCTGCTATATAGTTTTGAAAAAGAAAGCAATAGAGATGGATTGTATTGTGCTTAAAAACTGATATATTTTAAAGCATTGTGCTTAACACAGTGAGGAGCACATAACTGAATTATATCTATTGATATCAAACGATATATGAACGCATGAAAGGACCTATACCATCCAGGTTTAAGACTTATTGAACCTTTTGAACATAACATTTCAATCCTCACAATTAACTACTAGCATCCTGGATCCGCAAGGAGAGTTCACCTTATAGCATATATGAGTCTGCCAAGTTAAGTTGTGGATTGTGGTGGATACAATCACATATGCTTGAACCCTGGTATGTTTGATGGGCTGGATGTGGATGCTTTTCTTACTTTGTTTTCCTTGTGAGAATTCATTACGTATTATATGTGGGAAACTGCATGAGATAAATCACATATGCATCATAAATGACTCTAAATCCCAATTTACAACCAGAGATGCTGGCCATATGTGCTACATCAGGGGTGGCAAACTGCAGCCCTCCAGCTGTTGTGGAACTACAAGTCCCTTGAGGCTTTGCAAGATTCTCACAGCCACGGGCACAACTCGCAGAGGCAGATGCATCATGGGATTTGTAGTTTCACCACAGCTGGAGGGCCAGAGTTTGCCACCCCTGTGCTACATGATTTGTTCTCCTTCTAAGGATAATCATCTAAGTGGGAAGCCACATGAGCCTATTCATTCATTGATAATATATGCTAAGATACAATCAGAGATGCTGGGCACAACTGTAGCATTATACCTTTATGCTACAAGAGAGCTGGATGTTAACTGAATCCTTACTTTGCTTCTTCTGTGAGGATTTAGTTAACATTTTATGTGAGAACCTGCATGATTCAATTCAAGTATGGATTACAAATGGCTGTTTTTCCTTATTTACAATCAGAGGTGCAATGTATAATTATTGATAATACTCCTATGCTGTAGCAGTGATGCTATAACCACAGAAGCAAAATTTTGTAGAGCTTATGTCAAAATTTATATAAACCTTATATGAACATCTGATGAGATTAATTGCTGAGACCTTGGAATATACTCAAGCTCAAACGTAAAGTATATATCACTTGGCATGTTTAGAAAATTTATATTTTCACATGGATATATTTTGGCCGGTACTCTGAACGTCAGCAGCATTCTCTTTGTGAATATCACGTCCAGGTGTTCATACTATCTATTACACAACTGCACAATTACAGGATTAAGATGAGAACTCAAGGATATAACCTATCATTTGAAAACTACAGTGAAAATGTAAGAAGTGAAAGCTAACATTAGTAACCAGAGGATACAAATTTAAAAGCTTTAGCTTGGATTGTCACAATTAAGTTGAATCATTCAGTGAGGTCTCGTACCTTTCTAATCTTATAAAGACACACCAGTCCATTCATTACAGCAAATATAGGCCATCTAATTGCTCACTTTAAAAAGGTGTTTAATCCTCAGGTAGGCTGAATATGGGGATGTTTTTTTTTATGGGGGAGTTTTTAAATGTGGAATTTTGTGCAATAAACTGATATTTTATTGCAAGAGACAGTTTCCTAGACATTTTTCTCTAACTTCTTTTTATATTCATATCTCTTCAGGGAAGTCTATCCCACCTCAACCTAACCACTTAACCATCACGTTCTCAAACAATTCATCCCCACACAGCTACCTCCTCATGTATCACTTGCCCCTCCCTTTTAAATTGTAAGCCCTCATGGACAGGGCCCTCCTTACCATCTTGTCTTGAATTGTATTGTAATGTCCTCCTGATATTGTCCACTGTGCAAACTGTTGGCGCTATATAAATCCTGTATAATAATATAGGATGTAGGACTAAATTGTGTTTTTTTTAAAATTTATGTTCATGACCTGTTGAGTCTCACATACCAGGTATTGTTTAAGGGTCAATTTGAGTGATTTAGTAGTGGAGACTCCAGTCTTTCTGGATCTTGAAGTCACCACATTTTTTATTTTTTTTAAATCTTAATGAACATATCAATTTAGAACTAAAAGCAAACACAATACTTTTTTTAATAGGGAAATGAATTGTTAGCAAAGCATGATGAATACAGAAAAGAAACACTCACCTAAATTATACCACATATCTCTGATTTCAAAGCCGATCTGCCTTCTCATATCACAGTACCTGAAGGATGAGGAACCAGTAATTAATGGATTTGCATCCTTGCTTTCATCTCGTGGATAAATATTAGTGACAGAGTATTACGATGATAGCAATAATTCAGGATGACAAGACATGACAGCTTTTTAAACACCCTGCTGGAGAGAAGATACCCTTGTATATTTTTAAGGTAAACAAACCGCAGAGCATTTTTTTTTTTTAAAGAGATATGGTCAATGTGACAATGATGGCCTCAAATCCCACCACTGCCATCTGAAAGTGAAGTATGGCACTCTTAGCCTCACCCTGTGCAAAGATTTTGAGCCTGCAGGACAAAAATCTAAGCATCAGCAGACTGAGTATGATCGTTACTGGGGCGGTTAACCTTTACACACATACAAGTAGTAGCCTCCATCACGTGCTTTTCAGAAACATGCACTGGTCACACTATCTCCTATAAATTCTGACCTTTAGGAAATTACTGTGACACTAACTGCCATGCCAGACAGGAAGGTAGGAGAGTTTAAATTATGGAAGCTTTCTTCAAAGAGGCAGGACGTCTTTAAAGATTTAGCTTAAACATGTTAAAATATTGTTTTTATGAAAACAAGCAAGGCTTTATTAACAGAAAAAGAATACTACAAAATGAACAAGTGACCATAAAATAAATGGGATTAAAAGTGAAAAAAGCTTAGAAAAGTTTGCCTGGTCTTTGGTTTCAGCAGAGTTCAAACAACTGCACAGTAAATCCAATCTGATGTATTCGGGTCATTGGCTCTTGTGAATGACCCTTAGAAATTCTTCAGAAATTCGGTGTTAAAGTGAGAGCTAATGAGCTGCAGATGCAGCAATTTTATCTGGTCCCTAAATAGGACTTTTACAGAAAGTACATAACCAATAAAAGAGGCTGAGAGGGTGTTGAAGGGTTTTATTCAAGCAAACACTACCCCCCTTTCGGGCTGAATGGAAGAAATCTAACAGATTCCTCCAACAATGCTACAACAGAGTCCAAATCTCTGAACAATGAGTGCTGCTAATTGGCCACAGTCGCAGTTCGGCCAAACATTTTCCACCTGGCTCATTCGACAAAAGTCGACTAAATAATCAACATGAACAGCTTAAAATTCGCCAAAGTCAGAAATTCGAGCAGTGTATGGCCAGCTTTAGAAATTGTGTCCCTATTTAAAGCCAACTTGTGCTTTTTACATTCAGAGCAAATCAACAGCTCAATTTTAACCCCCCTCCTCAACACTGAGAGCTGAAGGAAATATCCCATAGTTCTGGATTTAAAGGAGAATGCAGCTCGCTCCATGTGACAGCACTGGACTAAATAGTGCTGTCTCACAGGGAGTCCATAGCCATTGTAAAGGTTATGACTCTGAGGACTCCAAACATTCTTTTTGTTCGCTGCAGCTGAATAAAAGGACGGGGGAGCGATAGCAAGGTAAGCATATGCATCTGAAGAGGCCTGCATTGAGGTGAACCTGTTACTTTGTCCTGCAGGACCAAAGCACATTTTAAGCACGTGGCACTCAGTTTGACCCCTTGAATGGGGAAAAAAGTGAGCAAAATGAAAAATGTTGAAATAATAATAAAAAAAGAAAAGCCTGACAAAAGGCATTATGCATCAAGCATCTCGCAATAGACACAATGAATATGTCCCATTGAACCGACGTCTTTAGACAGAAAGGTAAGCTTTGTAGTGTGCAGTGACAGAGCGCTCCAGACACAGGTACAGACAGAAGCAAAATGGATTAGCATTTCCTTCAAGCTGTAGGAGATACAAAGCTTGGTTCCCTTCATCTCTAAATACCTCAGTAAAGGAATATGCATACAGAAATGCAATGCATTTAAAGCTAAACCCACTGGTCTCTATGTCCCACAGTATTAAAACCTGACTACTATACCAGTTGTTGGGGTGGCAAAACAGACATTTTTTACACTAACACTCATACAAGACTTACTTAAGCAGGATTTTGACTCTTTTGGCACTTGAAAAATTCTCCAGCTGCAGGGATTCTTGGGTAAGGAAAGCAACAGCCAGGTGAAAATAGTTATTCCACAGCTAGAATAGAAGATAGTAGTGTTTACTTATCTCAGTCATACAACTTTACCTGTAATTATTCAACATTAACTCTACCCAAGACTAATATTTAAAGGAAAACTAGCAAGGGGGATTTGGGTAAATTGAATTTTGGTTTTTAAATCGATCATTTAAAAACCTTTTTTTTAAAATATATATAAAATACATTGTGCACCCATGACCTCGGATTCACAAAAAATTGTGGGTTTTCTAAGGAGAGAACAAAGCAGAAGATGCTTCCTTTATGTCTCTCTCTTGGACTGAAACTACCTAATGTAGAGAGCTGTAGGGATTAGTACTGTAGTGGCCAGGAATAGCAGCCACAGCAAACCAGAGAGGCACAGCCATTCGACAAACCTGGAAGGTGTAGCTCTGCCAGAGAATGAACACTGAATTCAAGAAAACTGGTGAAGAAAGGTATTACTGAGGCCCATGTCCAGCTTTAAAGTGTATTTTCACTTCTGCGGTCAACAGAGGCGGCTCTAGAGTTTGCGAGGCCTTAGGCGAAACCTAAACATGAGGCCCCACTCAGGCCTGTGGTGTCTCCCCAGGGCTCTGTAGGGTCTCACCAGGGCTATGTGGGGTCTCACTAGTCTGGTTAGCCCCCTCAGGCCCCTAGTGAGACCTCACAGAGCCCTGGTTAAACCAAGCCTCTGTTGGGTCTCACAAGGGCTCTCACCAGCACCAGGGCCCCGTAGGGTCTCACCAGGGCTATGTGGGGTCTCACTAGTCTGGTTAGCCCCCTCAGGCCCCTAGTGAGACCTCACAGAGCCCTGGTTAAACCAAGCCTCTGTTGGGTCTCACAAGGGCTCTCACCAGCACCAGGGCCCCGTAGGGTCTCCCCAGGGCTCTGTGGGGTTTAACCAGTCTGGTGAGACCCCACAGAGGCCTGGTTAAACCAGGGCTCTCTAGGTTCTCACCAGAACAAGGGCTCCGCAGGGTCTCACCAGGGCTATGTGGGGTCTCACTAGTCTGGTTAGACCCCTCAGGCCCCTAGTGAGACCTCACAGAGCCCTGGTTAAACCAAGCCTCTGTTGGGTCTCACAAGGGCTCTCACCAGCACCAGGGCCCCGTAGGGTCTCACCAGGGCTCCAAGGGGTCTCACCAGGGCTATGTGGGGTCTTGCCAGCCTGGTTAGACCCCTCAGAGCCCTGGTGAGACCCTACAGAGCCCTGGTTAAACCAGGGCTCTGTAGAATTTCACCAGGGATCTCACCAGGGTAGCAGGCCCATGTGAGGTCTCACTAGGGCTCTGTGGGGTCTAACCAGCCTTGTTAGACCCCACAGAGCCCTGGTGAGATCCCACAGAGCCCCAGGGCTCCGTAGGGTCTCACCAGGGCTATGTGGGGTCTTGCCAGCCTGGTTAGACCCCTCAGAGCCCTGTTGAGACCCTACAGATGCACGGTGTAATCGCGGCGTGAAATAGCGTGATCCGCCCAGCGCGACTGGGGTGCCATTAGAAAATCTTCAGTGATCGGCGACTTCCTAACGGTGCGTTATCGTGCACGATTGCCGCACGGTCACAGATCGCCCAGGTGTGCACTGGCCCTTAAGTGACCAACCAACCACTCCCTGTTCCCAAGTAACTTCTGTCTATTATTTTGTAAAGAACATCACAATTAAAAGTGATAGTAATCTTAGGAGTTAAATCTTAAAAATGCATTCAAGTACCGTAACTAATTACAAAAATGTATCTTATTTGTGTATCACTCGGCTCTAGATCCTCAAATCATCTCTGAATTGGAGCTGACACTGTCCTTCCTTCTGGAGGGTGGCTACTTTTGTTCCCCATGATTCTTGGGTGTGTTGTAAAGTATCTCCAAGCTCGCTCCTGTGATGGACTATAAGCTCAATACAAATCAGAAAACTAAATGCGAGATTGTAGACCATCACAGGAGCCTGCTTGGAGCATTGGCTACTTTAGAACACACACACAAGAACCATGGGGAACAAAAGTGGCCACCCTCCAGAAGGAAGCACAGTGTCAGAACCAATGCAGAGATGATTGGAGGATCTACAGCTTTAAGTGATGCACAAAAAATACATTTTTGTTAATAGTTACGGTACTGGAATGCATTTTTAAGATTTAACGCCTGAGTTTAGTGTCACTTTAAGCCATTGCTTAGGTGGTCTTCCGCAAAATTTAGCCTTGAGCACATTAGTTGATGAGAAGTCTGCAATGTGTCTGCTTACCCATAGAGTTGCACATCCTGGTCAGCAGCTTCCATTTTTTTCTACTTTTCTTTGACATGACACTCCAGCTACTTCCTGCATATCACTTCCCTGCCCTACTCAGTTCTCTCCCTGTGCACGCTCAACTCTGCCCCATCGATACCTTCATACTTGACGACCTCTAACTGCTTGGGTTTTATCTTTAACCTATTGGATAAGATACACTCAGACATTTTCTTCTTGTGCAAAAAATAATAGCAAAGGTTAGAAAGCCTTGTCCAATGGCTAAAGTTTTTCCCCTCTAATAGGTCAGTACCAATGGTAATCAATATGTATTTCTGATCTATCTCTACCTTTTCTTAGTATTGCTTGGTGTGTTTGTATTAATAAAGGACATTAACAGTATAAGGCTGCTTTAAGCAGTTTGAATTCAGCTTCTCCAGGCAAGACTGTATTATATTTTTTTGCATCAGCACAACAGGAAAGAACTATTAGTTAAATGGCTCCCTGATGTACACTATGATATCTATTTTTTACCAAACATGCACGTGGAGTAGTCATAGATTTAAAATCTTTTGCTTTCCAGGCAACTGCTCTTTAAAAGCCATCTGTGCTCTCAGCAGTTCTGCTTTCTGCAACCTTCAGATACGTCTGACTTAAGACATCGAATGGTCGTACTATTAGGCACTTCTGTAGACTGGAGGAAAATATTTGGTACTTAGACCATTTTAAACTGTAGTATAGCATGTAACCTTTTTTAGCATTATATGGTTTTGTTTTCCATGTTTAAAAATACCACAAAAAGTCTGTGGGGGGGGATTTATCAAAACTGGAGCAGACAGAATCTTCAGCAGTTGCTCATGGCAACCAATCAGCATCTCTCTTCAGTTTGCTCAGGTAAGATTTGAAAATGAGAGAGAGATGCCGATTGGCTGCAGTGCAAATCTGCTCCAGATTTTGTCTGTTCCAGTTTTAATAGATCCCCCCATGTGTGTCTATTGCCACTGCTGTCTAAATTACTAAGATGCCTGAAAGAGGACATGTCAGGAAGTAATACAGGTGCTGATTTTATTTTTCAAAGTCTGAAATTCAGCCCTTCGATTCCGCTCAAGGCTTCTTACAGCTACTATCATGCTATGTGTGCCGGTCATTTTGGAGGACTTATTTCGCCCTTTGTTTTCTAAACGGAAATGCAAGTACAGCTGCTCTCCACCATTTAGCATTCGACTTCAAACTTTATTTAGCATGATGATATTAACACCACGCAAGACTTTACAAGTGCTCTGGCACATTTCACCCTTTTATGAAGGCTAAAAAGAGAACTATGGCTCAACCCTTTTTTGGCCATAGTAGCAGGAGAGCAATGCCCTAAAACTAGCTTGCTGTTTGTAACTTAGAAAAATCACTTATCCATGCTCCTTCCCAGCCTCCCTGTTCGAATCAACGCTCTACTGTTGTAATGAAATGGGACTACCAGGTATGGGGAGAATGTAACCACCTATACGTGACAGTGCTAAGGCCTGAGTAGACAATCGCCAAAACTGGGTTTACTGGGAGCCAGAAGGTGACAAGGTAACTGAATAGGTAAGAATACTTTGCAGGGTGGACAATGAGTGAAATGGTAGTGTCCCCTACAAGACGTTTATAAATGGCAGGATCTCTTATTATCATAATATTTATGAAATTTTATTCCCCTTACCTGCAGCTCAAAGTTTGCTTGATCCAAAAACATCTTGTTTAGCATGTCGGCATACTGATTAATTGCTCGTAAGAACACTCTGTAAGATCAATGGAAAATAGCAAAGTTATGGACATTTGGCAAGATCATCCGTTGTACATTTTAATAATAAAGAGAGGAAAGCAAGAAGTTACTGGTGCAAGGTAGCTCTGCCGCAAAATACTGACTACTAGTCCTACTACCTTGCAGCAGTAGAGCCCTGTGCTCCAGGAACAATACTTGTAAGGCTGGGCACACACCTTACAACCATCGTAAGACTTTTGTCTTGCGATGGTTGTAAGGTACTTTGAAAAATGTACGATCTGCCTATCTTGCATAGGCAGATCGTACTTGCGATGACCGCAAGCCACGCCCCCTGAGGGGCGGGCTTCCGATGACCGCAATGCCGAACGGGCAGTGTGCCCTTGCGCACACCGGCCCGTCCGGCTTTTATCTTACGAACATGCTACACACCCGCCGAACATCTTACAATGCTCAGCGGGTTTTGAAACATGTTCGTAAGTTTAAAGTCGTGCGACCTTACAGTAGTAGAGGTCGCACGGCTTCCACACACCTTACGATAATCGTACGATCGCGGGATTTCCCGCGATTATCGTACGAGTATCGTAAGGTGTGTGGGGACCTTAAGGAGGTCGAGTGAACTGCTCCTGATTATGTGGGTTGCAACCACGATACAAATGCATACTAGTAGGTCATAGGTTGCACAGCTCCTACCCAAACTGACCCTAGTGAATGCATGCAAGACACTAACAGGCAAATTAGACTGTAAGTTTCTCTGGGTGTCAGTGACTGATGTGACTTCTTCACTATGCTCAATAAAAGTTTTCCAGAATATTGGCATGCTATAAAAAGGAAGAACGTTTGACAGAAATTTAAGCACACCACACTTCCCTGGATTGGCTATAAAGCCAAATCAAAAATCTGACAGGTAGCTGTGCTAAAAGCAGCAAGAGGAGATCACCAAAAGGCGGATATTTTTGGACATTACATTTGTAGCTGTAATTATAACATCTACAAAAGACACCACACACCTAAAATAAACCAATTTTGTTTCAAAGTACACCAAACTCAATGTAAATGTAAAAATGTATAGAATTATAAAAATGTAGGTTAAAGGATAAGCCTAAGAAAAAGCAATGTAATGTATTGCAGCTGGTCAGTCTTTAGATGATTAGGACATTTTTTAGCACGTACTGAAAATACCTGTTTGGCCTGGTTCACACCTGGGCGTTTTGTAGCGCGTTCGAACGCTCTGCAAAATGCTCAAACACCGAAATCCCATTGTTTCCTATGGGTATGGTTCACACCTGGGCATATTTCAGCCCGTCTGAACGCGCTACAAAACGGCCTACGCCCAAAGAAGTACATGTACTTCTTTGGGGCGTTTTGGTCGCTCGTTACCATTGGGATACAGCCAAGTAGCTCGGAAACGCGCGTTTGTCGCACGTTTTTTTTTACCGCGAATTGTGGTAAAAACGCACGCCACGAAACGTGCGACAAACGCGCATATTCAATACGCCTAGGTGTGAATATCTTAACAGAACAGTAGCAGCCTTGGTACTTCCTGAATTGGAAGCATTAATACTATTTTATCTTCCTTTTGTAAAGTACTAGACTTCCATTCCCCCATGTAATTATGATAGACAAAAGGCAAAGGTGTTGATGATGCCCAGCCTGTGTGACAACTATAGCTCTCGCCATGTATCTAGTGAAGGAGTGAGAACAGCAACCAAAGGAGGGGATTACCAGGTAAAACATAAAGGGGGGAAAATCACAACATCCAAAGACTGATAAGATGCAATATATTCATATTTTTTGTTTTTTAATTATGCCCAAAGCTGTCAACTCAGTTTTGAATAGAAGATGGTAGGCTTGGATTTTCACAAGCAAGATTCCTTTTTCTGATATTCCAAAAACTCTGCCACCACCACCCTCTCAGTGCCCCATGACAAAATTTAAATGACAAACCCAAGATGCTTTAGGGGGTGGCATCTAGATATTCCAACATATACATCATGCCACCGCAGTCCAGTATTACCACCGCAGTATTTATTATAGCTTTACTACACCAAGGAAAATCAAGCAATTTTGTAAAAATAACTTGGTATTTGCCTTTTAGGTTTTCCAGGGAATCCCTGCCCAATGCCTTGTCAGTTTAAACTCCCTGGCAGGAGGGTTTCAAATGCAAAACTGTAATGCTGGGGCTGCTCCTTGTCATAAAACAGAAGAAGAGCAGGCTGCCCAATGCGCCCCCCAACCCCTTCCAAATTTAGTTTTGTTTAACTGTTAAAGAAGCAGCCACTGCCGCTTCCAGGGAAGGTTAAAATTGGAAGAAATTATTTAGAAAACGGTGTCATATACCAAACAGGTATTGAGAGCAGCTATTAATTTGTATCCCAAAGGTGTAGTTATTCTTCACAGGGTGATGAATCAGTCCAGCTCTGCCCACGTCTGTTAAAAGTTACACTATGTCTTTTCAGCATATATATTTCAGTGGTTCAAACGGAGAATACAAGCATGCAGTTTCTAAAAGAAGGCTCATTACATTCAGTCATGGCTGTCAATCACTCCGGCATTCTATGAGCCACTGCACTGTATTCACCAGCTTGTCTCTGGCACAAGTAATAGCAAGTGCAGAATATAATCAATACCCATAATTATTTCAGTCCACAGAACGAAATAATGAAAAAGATAACAACTATCATGAAGTCACAAGACTATTAGCTTCTTTAATTACCAAAAATCACAGATATTAGGCTGAACCACCACAACCCACTCTGCTTTCTCTGTTTTAGGTTGAAGTCAGAAGATATATATCAGGTGGGTTAAGCAGATGACACTGCATATCATATGGCATTGTGCATGACTGAAATGTGTGTATAAAAGAAAAGAAGTATAAAGAAAACAAAATAGCAAAATAGGCATTCTCAGGACTTCCCCAGCTGAACAGAAACATCCAAATAGTAGTTTTTAACACCAACTTTTTGGTTATTCACAGCCTGCTTTTCTCTTAAGAAAGGCAGGCTAGGACTCTTAGCAGCATTGGTGTAATAAAATTGTCATTTGATTACTTATATTCTCACTTGGAAGTCCTGAAAGTGTCAACTATATCCATTGCTATATTGTCCTATATGAGTGGAGCACCAAGACAGTGCTATATTGTCCTATATGAGTGGAGCACCAATACAATGCTATATTGTCCTATATGAGTGGAGCACCAAGGCAGTGCTATATTGCTATATAGTCCTATATGAGTGGAGCATCAAGGTAGTGGATCGAGTGCTGGTACTGCCATTCTCCACATTACATACATCTTATTGTAGAAAATGGTCCAAAACTAAGGGGTCTTTGGAGAATCTGGCAAAATTTGCAGGAATCTTATCACACAGCAGTCATCAATAGACCACCCTGACTTGTTTAACATTTAAAAGTACACAGGCATGCCAAACATGTCAAGTTGCTCCATTGATGACTTCTGTGTTATTTGATGCTTAATGAAGAAGTATTGGAAGAGTAGAATGTACTCTTACCAGTACTTAGAGCTGTTGGGCGCCACTACAGGTGTAACATGACAGCTTCCATAGATCTGCCAAGAGCTGAGCAATCATGAACTTCTGATCACTCAGCTCATGATCTTCTCCCTGCGGGCAGAGAATAGTGACTGTCAGTCACCGTTGCCCGCAGGGATTCCTCCCTCCCAGCTGTTACTTCAGCGCTCATTGGAGGGACAGACAGGGAGAGGGTGAGCACAGTTGACTGTGGCTGTAGAGAGGCAGAGCCAGCTGTCAATCAGGCAGCGGGTACATCCCAACAATATTATTGGGATCCTTCATGGCTGCAGCACGGCACTGCGCGGTCAGCAAATAGCGGACTTTGAGTCACAGGAGTACATTAGTAAATGTACTCCTTTGACCCAAAAGAGGAATAAAGACAAAACAAGTTTTGGCTTTAGTTCTCTTTTAAATAAAAATTGCTAGAATCCAAAAGATCCCTCAGAGGTGGATAATTTTCTACAGTACCTTTTATGTGCTACAGTCGTGCAAGACTGGGTTATTGAAAGGGTGGAGATAAGTTGGGTCCCCCATGTCATAGCAGGTCAAGTTAAGCTAAAAAATTAAGTCTCAGGATGAGCAGCCCATGTGTCTAAATCATTCAGGTGTACTCACAAGCTGATGGTTTTTCAACACCCTTCAAATCACATGAAGTCCGCAAGAATCACAGTACAACAAAAGGTAAGTTTTAATAGTCCTTAAAAGTGAAAAGGCTGTACACTCATATCCGCCCTTTGTGGGCTTGAGATAGGGCGAATGTGACTATTGGAATCAATCGTGGCGCTGTGATCTTTGATAACTTATATACAACTTAAAATATCCCCGTTAAAGGATGGCAAATTACATACTACAAACAACTGTGAACAAAACTTTAGTTGCTGTATTGTATATTGCCACAGAGAAGCAGGAAACTACATTGCTTGTATCTCTAAAGTGGACAAAATGAAATCTACAAGCGCTTTGAAATATGTGCAATTCATGTATTTTGGAATTTAAATATATAAGTGTTATAAATAATGGAAGTGAAGAAAAACTGGTGACATGTTCTGGCCCAGAGCTGGACCAATGTAATGTATTTAAGTATTTGCATTGCAGTTCTGCATATCCTAGACACTCACAAACGAGATCCACATGGTCTGTGCAGAGCAGAAATGAATTGCAGCGAAAATTGAATTTTTTACTTGCTATTCAAATGACTAAAGTATTGATCTGTATAAAAAAAAAAGCATTATTCCAGTAAAGTCTAATTAATACCATTAATCTGGAGGGCAGACTTGTATCTCTGCATAGTGGTCTGTCAGTGTCGTGTTGGTGACAACACCAGGCTTCCTTTACATTAGTGATGATAAAGTATGCAATAACATTGCTCTGATACTGTATTAACGAGATCCAACATTACCACAGGGAGCAGATTTTACTGGTGGAATTAGCTCTGCCCTCAGGTCTCTCCGTCTACGTTGTCTAGATATTGTTTCTTTTCCCAGTAGAA